AGATTCACCCCCGGATGACTGCTCAATCTGCTTGGATCCATCGCGGCTGATTTTGCTCCGGCGCGGCTTCGGCTCACGCTTTTCCTTCCCCATCATATCGGGGAAACTAATAGCAGGGGTTTTCTTCAGGATCGCGAAGTCGACGCACCACACACACACCCACTAGATCTGCCTCCACACGCGACTGCGCCTGCTATTTCACCGGATTATAGAGCGAAGTGTGAGAGAGAAGTGGTGGTGGTGGTGCCGGTGGTGGTGGCGACGGTGGAGTGGCGACGGCGGGGATAGAGGGAAGTGAGAGAAAATGGGTTGAGAGAGAGAGAGGTATTAATTAAAACCTGATTTATGTATTATTAAAGATGATTTTGGATTTATGAAAATAGTATTTTAAAAACTTGTGTGGGTGCAATTTCCTCAATTATTAATTAAACATATTATTCAATTTCATTGATTTTAGGCCGTACGGGGCCTAATTTCCTCTTTTGGGTTATCAGGCGCTCCACGTAGCTTATGTGGACTCTGGGCCTAGAATACACTGTCTGAATTTATTTTGGGCTGTGCTGGAGCTTGTAGGTTCTCAACTGTCTTTATACTACTTACTATTTTGTGACAAATATGTTTTTCTTTTTTATGATAGCGTTTCAAAAAGTACACCATGAATCACTAGTACTTAGGACAGCTGGTTGGACTTTTACTTTGTCTATGCCAAATCTTTGAAATATTTAGATTTGGAGAACATGGCTTCATAAATGCCATAAATAAAAACTCTCCACGTGTAATGCTCACTTATTGAGGCATATAAATAAATTACTAGACATAGATGGGGAAATTGAAAATTAAATAAGTCGATATCAAGTTTTCGATCATTCGATTGATTGTTTAGAAGATCGATCGGGCGTAAGTATAGTAGTTGTAAGTTACAAATGAACCCCATGGACTGCGAATGAAAGATTTCTTCGAGGTCGCTCAACAAATAATAACGAAAAATCAGTAAATATTGAATAAATTTAATGGAAAATCAATAAAAATTGCATATGATCTCACTTGCCTTTCCTTTTCCAAAGGTCAATCGAATATATGTAATAGAGAAAAAGAAATTTACCAAACACCACAAGAATTTGTGCAAGTGACAATATGTCAATGTCAGATTATCACCACATAGTAAAAGTGGTCCAAAAGTTTACATGGGTATTGAAATTTTTCAATAGACAAGGTGAAAAAGAAATTATTGTTTATATTTTAATTTTATTTTAATGAAGGATGAATGAAAAAATCATTTACGTCATTTTATAATCTTCTGATAAATTATTTAAAAAAAAAAAATGCAAGAACATCGTTTTTTATTGTAAATTGGTAAATCAGGTCACAAACATCGGTTTTTTTTTTTTTTTTTATAATAAGTTTTCGATAATTTGGAAACTAAGATGCAATCTCTCTTTGATTTTCTTCATTATGCTAACATAGCGCTCCAAGAATCAATCACATAACTCCGTAAAATAGAAGTCATTTAGCTTCTGTTTGGCACCCATTTTCTTCTCATTCGCATTCTTTTTTTTTTTTTTTCATTTTTTCATTTCAACCATAAATTCTATTAATAAAATAATATTACATATAAACTCAAAAAATCTTTTTACATTTTAACCACACATTTTTCCGTCAATCACTTTTCCATAATTTATTTTTTCTCCAAAATGGGTGTCAAACACAACCTTAATTATTAAGCAGTTGCTTTTTGAGAACAAAATATAAAGAAAGCCAAATTAGGATTTTCTTAAATAAAAATCAATTACATCTCATTTCTTCTACGATAAGTGGAGGTCATTATCCTAGTCAGTATTAGTTTCTTTCGCTTTGGGATAGTGGTGCACATTACACTAGGGGTCGGTTTGGTTCAATGTCATTTTGATTCCAAGCATATCGAATCGAACCAAACTAAGAACTAATGATATTTTTCTAAAGGTGTTACTAGTTCACCCGTAATAATGAAATCGAACCAAAATCGAATATTCAATTACGCTGTTTGTATCCTATGAATTACACTCTTGTTTACCCGACCCCACTCCTTCTCTCACGTGGGGGTCGGGTCCCACGTCCATGGGACCTGACCCCCATGTGAGGGAGGGGGCGGGCCCGAGTGAACAAAAGTATAATATATAGGGTACATGTATCATAATCCTTGGTTCTGATTCTATAACCAAAAAAATAAAATTAAAGTTCATTCATTCATTAACCGTGTTCAATAACACATGTTCCATAGAGTATGATCGTATATGAGGAGAAAAAAATCTTAAACAAGGATGAGTGACTAAATTGCTAGATAACTTATGGTTCTTTGGAGTAGTCGAATCACGTGTTTGACTAGGACTCATACTTCATGCCTAATGAGAACGACTGAAAATAACATGTCAGTTCATTTAGAATTTGTAGTTTATAAGCAAAAGGGTTGCCATGCATTGGATTTTTCATTAGCTAAACCAACAAAATTAAAATTATAAAAAATGGATAATTTTAGATGTATATAATTTTTGCACATAGGCTCACCCCATGTGATTGTTATGTATCCATGTATGTACAAAAATTATATACCTATAGCAAAACCCATTAAAAATTAATATTAGCTATTCTTTAGTAAAAAGCATGCCCACAATAGTAGCCTACCCAATATATGGAATTTTAATTATTTTTCTCCAAATTTTAAATTTTATTCCTCTTCATTTTTTAGCACTTGCACGATTTTTCCTTGCAAGAAATCACTAAGGGTGCGTTTGATTGTAAGGGTGAAAAATAGGTGGAAAGAAAATGTTTTACAGGGAAAAGATTTGCCTAGAAAATGTTTTGCAGGGAAAATGATTTCAAGTGTGTTTGATTTGTATAATTTTCCACTTGAAAAATTTTTAAATTATCTATTCGTTTGGCTTTGTTTTATATGGAAATTGTCCATTAAAGTGATA